AGATGACCTTGTGTTAATGGCTAAGGAAGAAACTGTGCTACAGGGCATGATTGATAGACTAATTGAAATTGGAAGGTGCTATGGCATGGAAATGAATGTGGAGAAAACAAAAGTAATGAAAATTTCGAGACAACCAACCCCAGTCACAATAAAGATAGACCAAAAACAACTGGAGAATGTGAAATGTTTTAAATATTTGGGTAGCTTGTTAATAGATGATGGAAGGTGTACTAGTGAAATTAAATCCAGGATTGCCATGGCAAAAGCTGCATTTAGTAAGAAGAAGAATCTTTTTACCAGCAAATTGGACTTAAATTTGAGGAAGAAACTAGTGAAATGCTACATTTGGAGCATAGCTCTGTATCGGGCTGAAACATGGACACTTAGGGCAGTAGATCAGAAACATCTGGAGAGTTTCAAAATGTGGTGTTGGAGAAGGATGGAGAAGATCAGTTGGACCGATTATGTGAGAAATGAAGAAGTGTTAATTAGAGTCAGTGAGCAGAGGAATATCCTACACAAAATAAGAAAATGGAAGACTAATTGGATTGGTCATGTTTTACGCAGAAACTGCCTTCTAAAAGAAGTTATCAAAGGAAAGATAGAGGGGCGGATAGAAGTGACAAGAAGACGAGGAAGAAGACGTAAGAAGTTGCCGGATGACCTTGGGGACAGAAGAGGATACTGTCATTTGAAGGAGAAAGCTCTAGATCGCATTACGTGGAGGAATTGTTTTGGAAGAGATCGTGGACCTGTCGTCTTGACAGATTACTGATGATGATGACACAAAAGGGCAGGTTTTACAAATGAAAACTAACTGTGATTATTTTGTCATGAATTGCAAAATATAATCGTTATTATATACGTTATGAAATTCTAAAGGACTTACACATTGATTTTTCTTCAAACTTGAATCGTGGTGGTGATGTAAATATGATGACACTATATACAATAATATTTGGTTTGGACTGTACACGGTTTGTACTGCGTCACTTCACAGTTTACACTCTGACGCGCGTGTCCCACTCTCGAAGCAGTCCACGACACACAGCGCAACATCACACTTTTTACAGCAGAAAAGCGTGCTCCTGCCTTTCTTGTTTATAGAACAAACGTGACGTCTTTGTTTCCCTTTAGCTGGCCAGTGTTTTGAATGTTTCACCTCCAGTTGACTTAGTTGGGCTCCAGATGAACTTGGCCTCCCCCGAGAAACGCCACTGACCGTGATATTCGCCTCATGTGATTGAAGAATCAAATCACACACAAAAATTTCGCGGAATTTTTTGTGCGTCATTTTTCCATCACATGACTTGTGTAACAGATGTGCATTGAGAATAGTCATATATAGAAGGTGGAATAACAATTTCTTTGTCCACTTCCATGTCCTCCGAGCAATGACATAGCTGTTCACCATTCTATCAGATTTGTCCACAAAGCCCATGTGTGCATTGTAGTCTTCAATTACATGAGGTTTGATAGGATGGCCAGATTCATCTCGGAAGTTGTCATCCAATGGCGGAAGGTGCATCGAGTTCTTCCAACTCTTCATCAGATTCATCTTCCATCAATATTTCCTCCAGTTCTTCAGCATCGAGGAGTTTTGAGTATTGGGCTCGTTTTTGAGGTTCTATCTTGAGGGGGGGCTTCCAGCCAAATCCTATAATTTATGATGATTGAAAAAGCGAGACTGTTAGGAACACTCGCAAAATTGTGATGCAAAGTAATTGCAATAGCAGTCGAAAAGTGCCAGTCCGCCACTGATACCGAAAGTCGCAGTGACGAAGATGTCTTCACGCACAAAGTAACACTGACTCAGTGGGTTTATACCTCTTCCGAGACACACAATAAAAATGATATTCAAAGAAATATAGGAGTCTGACACTGACTTCCTAACTAATAACGAAATATTAGAAAATCTGCCACTGACGTCCTAACTGAGAAAACAATACTTCCTTGAAATTTCTTGTTGAGGGATCAAACACTGAGAACAAATTTCTTATCATTTTCAGGTTAGTATTTTCTTCGATTGATTTGTTCCTGGAAAGCACTGGTAACACTGATATGAAAGCGTCCATGAATATTTCGTCCTCTAAGTTGTCAAAACAAAGCTGACTTCTATTAGCTCACCAGGTCATAAACAGTCATATCTAAACGTAAATAGTTTCGAAACCAGTACTCTGATAAACGATTTCATTGTTCAGAGCTAACAAATAAACATCTGACATGAAAGTTCATGAGTTGGTTTGGGTTTCAAACCCAAGGTCAAACTGCCAGCACTCACAAAGGAAGCATGTGGCTTGCCTCTAAAAATTATAACATTTGGCCAGCTGGCTTGCTACTTGCTGCCAATAATTATAACATTCGGCCGTTAAAGGTTAAGATGGATCTGAAAGAAGGAGTATTGGAGATTGTGGACTGGATTCATTTGGCTCAGGTTAGGGACAAGTGACGTGTTCTTGTGAACACAGCAATGAACCTTTGGGTTCCATAAAGGGAACTGAATAGCACTTGACTAGCTGAGTGGCTTTTAGCTTCTCAATTAGTTTTATATATATATAAAACTGTTTCTGCCTGTTCTTTAACAATGATTACATTTTAAAGAGGATCGTTTGTAGGTCAGAATTCTTATTTTGCTGTTGGTAAGGTAATAGTGAAGATGAAGTTGACGAGCATATGAGACCTACAGTTTATTAGAATTAAACCACAACCTGGTATAATTAAGAAAAAATTGACAAAGTTTTGGCTTTGTCAGAAGTGAGGGGAAAGCTTGGTCCATATCCCTACACCACACTCAAGATTGCATACATAATATTAAAATTCTTGTGTAATAGTTGGGGAAATCACCTCCTCTCTGAAAATATGGATGACTGTCATCTTTGGTATTATTTAAGTACGGGATTTAAAACTACATCTTGATTATGAGCCCCTGTAACATCACTTTCATACCAATTTTAGTGAAAATTTAGTCATATTTTATTAAGAAAGGACACATACACATGGCTGCTCAAATTATGTTGTTCTTTCCAAGAAAA